GTGTCCCCGTGACTACACAGACGTGGCGTCCCTCAGACTTTCTCAGAAACAGTCTCCTGCTGACCCTCGGAAGACCCAGGCCATCTGCTGGTGTCGGAGGATGGCTGCCACCCTGCCGCCGCCGACTCTGAGCCCCCGAGGGCTGGAGAGCCAGCTGCAGGGCTCCCAGCCGGGGAGCCACGGCACCGGGCCCACAGCTGCGTGCGGTCACGCCGGGCTCGGTTTCCTGAGGCTCTGTGAGAGCAGTGAGCCTTCCAGAGGGACAGGCTGAGCCCAGCCAGGGAGAAGGAAAATACAGCAGGGCTGCAGTCCGAGAGCCACGCGTGGAGGAGGTGCCAGGACACACGCAGCATCCGCAGGAGAGGAGCAGGCGTTCCACACAGTTCACCCAGGCAATGCGCACAAAGGAGCGCTACGGATCTGCAGTAACACCGGAAATAACAGGGGCAGGTCGGAGGCACTGCCGGGATACTGACCAGAGGGCTGGGTGCTGGGAAACCATGACAGCCCTGAAATGTGTCCTCAGCTCCCCAGGCCCTTCAGGGACCCCAGCCTCACTTCCAGCCTTCCACAGGCTACTCCCTGAACACGGGCCTCTTTCATGCCCCCCTTTTCTTTTCTTTCTTTTTTTTTTTTAATTTACTTATTAATTTTGAAAGTCAGAGTTACAGAGAGTGAGAGACAGAGAGAGAGAGGTCCTCCATCCGCTGGTTTTCTCTCCAGATGACCGAAATGGCCAGGGCTGGGCCAGGCAGAAGCCAGGAGCCAGGAGCTTCATCCAGTCTCCCATATGGGAGCAGGGACCCAAACACCTGAGTCATCTTCTGCTGTTTTCCCAGGCCATCAGCAGGGAGCTAGATCAGAAGTGGAGCAGCCGGGACTTGAACTGGCGCCCTCTTGGGATGCCGGCACCTCAGGCAGCTGCTTAACTTGCTGCGCCACAGCGCCAGCCCCTCTTGTCTCCCTCTTCTATCAGGACTTGCTCTGCTGTGTCCACTCCCTGCCAAGAGCTTGCAGACACCTGCCCACACTGTCCCCAGTCCCGGGCATCCCTCCTGCCTCCCTGCTCCCCAGTCTCTCTGCATATCCAGCTTCCATCTGATCTTCCAGTGTTAATGCCCAGGCCTCCACAACGCCTGCCTTGGCAGGCTGAGCTGTGTTCTTTATTCATACTTTTTGCATGCCATGGATGCCATTCTGCCCTATAGAACAGACTTTCCCATGACCTCTGCCATAACCCTCTCTGATTGTAATAAGCTCTTAAAGTCAACATTCAGACTGAAATTATATTTTTTTTTTCATTTGACAGGTAGAGTCATAGTGAGAGAGAGAGACAGAGAGAAAGGTCTTCCTTCCATTGGTTCACTCCCCAAATGGCCGCTACAGCTGGAACTGCGCCAATCTGAAGCCAGGAGCCAGATGCTTCCTCCTGGTCTCCATGTGGGTGCAGGGCCCAAGCACTTGGGCCATCCTCCACTGCCTTCCCGGGCCACAGCAGAGAGCTGGACTGAGGCAGAGACAGAGAGCGATCCTCTCTACTGGTTCACTCCCCAAATGCCCACAATGGCCATGGCTGGGCCAGAGCTGGGCCAGAGCCAGAGCCAGGAGTTGGGAACACAGTCCAGGTCTCTCACTCGGCGGGCAGGGACCCAGACACTTGTCTCACCACTGCCTCCACGGTGTGCATTAGCAGGAAGCTGGACTCAGAAGCAGAGCTGGGACTCAAACCTGAACTCTCCAAGTGGGACACAGGCATCCTATCCTATCTGGTGTCTCAACAGCTCAGCTAATCGCCCACTGCCCAGATCCGTGCTCTTTGTGCAACCCCCTCCTCCAGGGCCAAACGGCAGTGCAGCAGTAGCGTGGGCTCAGACCTCGAGAGGACGTGGGAGAACACAAAGGGGTAGCAGCTGCCCTACCTCACAGATCTGGCTCGAGCTGGGTAAACCAACGCGAGAGGGAGCCGTTTTGTGCAGGTGGGACGTCTGGTCCACTTGCTTGTGAAGCAAGCTCTGAGCTCGCCTGCAGGTAGGGAGCCAGCTGCGGTGTGGCCATTGTTAGAAGGCAAATGACATAAAAGCCACTCTGTGAAGCTCTGGACCCCGAGCCCCTCCGGCTGGGGCGCTTACCGGGCTGGGGGGAAGGACTCTGCTGCTTGAACTGCCAGGGCGGAGTGGCGTCCAAGCTCTCCCACAGCAGCTGCCTGAGCAGGACGGAGGCTGGTGCTGTTTCCCACCTAAGCTCCTGCTCCCTCCTTCCCCAAGCCTCTCCACGCAGGGAAGAGAATATTTTCTTCCAAACTGGACTCTCGGGCTTCCCTGTGGCAAGAAAGGTGATTGGATATCAGGATTGGGTATTGGGATTTTCTACAGTTTTCACCTGACAGTCATTTAAAATGAGGTTGAAATATCAGTGAGGCTGGTGTTGAGGGGCCAGCACTGTGGCATAGCGGGTAAAGCCACCACCTGCAACACCGGCATCCCATGTGGACTCTGGTTCGTGTCTTGGCTTCTTCATTTCCAATCCAGCTCCCTGCTGGTGGCCTGGGAAAGCAGTGGAAGATGACCCAGGTGCTTGGGTCCCTGCACCTGCATGGGAGATCAAGATGAAGCTCATGGCTCCTGGCTTCACCTGGCCCAGCCCTGGCCGTTGTGGCCATCTGGGGGCGGGGATTGAACCAGCAAATGGAAGGTTTCTCTGTCTCTCCTCTCTCGCTCGCTCTATCTCCCTCTTCCCCCTTCCCCGAATTTCAAATAAAAAAGAAAGATGGGTTTTGAATGGAGTAGGTGTTATGTGGAAACGAACTTGAAGTAAGAGATAACCTGCAGTGGATGACAGAGGCCCACAGCCCTGTCACTGGGTAGAAAAGGACCACGGGCTGAGCTCCGCCATGGTGTGCGTGCCTTCTAACGCTCTGCGTGGGTGCCTAAGGCCGTGCTGCCTGCTTCTCTCTGTACCATCGGTTCGCTTCGGCAAGCCCTTCTGTTCGCTCTAGTGCCTCCAGGTACGTGCTAGCCCGTGCTGACCGAGAACTCACCACCAGGCCTGAGTCCAAGCGGCTTTAGTCCATTGCAGAACACAGCCCTGATGTGTGCATCCTGCAAGGGCGGATTTTACAGATATTTTATCTGCTTTCCTGCAAGCCTGCGGGGAAGAGGCAAGTGGCCGAGGGTTGGAGCTAATTCAGAGCCCCCGTGGGGGCTGACCCTGTGTGGAGGGGCCCTCCCTCCCTCCCTCTCTCCTCCAGCTGGCTTGCTCCGCTTTCCATGCTAGGAGACGCCTGGGTGCAGCCGTACCCCAGGCTCATTAAGATCTTCCAGGTTGAAAACACCTTTGGTTATTCAGAGCAGCAGGACCCTTGGGGGGAGCCCCCAGTGCACACACACTCTCCCCTGACTCCCAACCTCTGTGGGAAAAACCTCCCAAGCTCCAAGCTCGGGCAGCCCTGGGCCTCATGGTTGAGGTTTTTCTTTCTGACTTTTGGCATTTGTTTTGTCCCTGGCCAGTGCTAAAGATTCTTTGCTTCTCACTGTGTCTATGTTCTGTGTAGGGAGCGTCCGCTGGTTGCTTCCACCTCATTCTTCTGCGTGCAGCACCCCTGTCCACACCCTCCCCAAACACACACACCCTCCTCCTCAGACCACCCTCGTGTCTCTGGTCCAGTGAACCCCACATCACAGCCCCCTTCCTCCAGCTCACCCCCAGCCCCTCCGCATTTGGCACCAGTCCAGCCAGCTCTCCAGGCTTTCTGTGGGGAGGAGGCACAGTATGCTCCTCCCATGCGGGCCCCAGCCCTGCCCACCAGGGATGACCCACCCTGACCCCTGGATGGCACTGGGTTCGGACTGGAGACAGACCCCCGGGGAACAGATCTCTGGCTTAGGCCAGAGCAGGTTTAAAAGGGTTTGCCTTGATACAAAAGTAAAGCCCGGTCGCTGAGAAGAATTTGACTCCCCTGTGGACAGCTAAAAGCAAAGCCTGCCGCTCCCAGAACCTTCTCCCCCTCTCCGGGAACGCAAGCACCTTTAGTGGTTTGAGATCTTTGCCAGTTCCAGACACAAGGCACACGGGTATCATCAGGAGGGTGGAGTTTTTTATTAACAGGCTCCTCTTTCCGGGGTCCCTTTTAAGAGGTGAAATTGACAGAGAAGAATAAATGGTCCTCAATGATGATTTGTTTAAACTTTCCTGTCTCTGGGTTTCTCTCAGAAATGACAACTGCGTCTCATGTGCTTCCCCCACCCCCACCCCACAAACACTATTTGGCCTCACCTCTGGGCAGGCACCGTGTCTCCATCTTGTGCAAAACCCGTCTGTTACGACACCTGTCGCAGTTCCCTGGCTGCCCTGCTAGGCCACTGGCCCCTGAGGGTGGGATCCTGTAGTTCTGTCCATCCATCCATCCTTGGTCCTGGACGGTACCTCTGAGCCTGCAGCCAGAGTGGCCTGGGGTCGCCACACACAGCCCCACTCCCTCAACCTGTCCCCAGTTTTCTCCCTATTTGGTTCCTGTGACCACGTGGGCTCCTCATGCACCAGCCGGGCCAGAAAAAAGAGAGCAGCATTAGCTCCATGCACCCAACGTGCCCCCCAGGCTGGTGTTTGGAGGGGCTGGTGACAGATGCACCAGATGACCAGGCTTCTGCTCAGGGCGGCGGGGCGCGGGTCCACCTGCAGAGATGGGGGCTGCAAACGGAGGCTGCTGGCGAAGCAATGAGGTGGAGAAGAGAGCCCCAGGGTCCACTTCCACATGGGCTCTGACTGGCCTGAGCGCGCCTGGGTGTTAGTAGGCCTGCCTGTGAAATGGAGCCCATGGCATGACCTGCCTGAGAGGGTCAGGGACAAGGTTACAGGGCCCGCCTCACCCCAGAGAGGACCCTGTGTGCTGTGAGGGCCCACGGCTCTTAACCAGTGTCCGTGAATCAAACACGTCCAGAGATTTGACCCCGACCCCTTGTCGAGACAGGCGTGATTCCAGAACGTTCTCTCTCTCCCTGCAGGCCAGTCCTTCTACTCCCGGGTGCTGGAGAACTGTGAGGACGTGGCTGACTTCGACGAGGTAGGACCCCCAGGCCTTGGCTCCTGCAGCCTCGTACCTGCTGGGGAGCCAGCAGCCTCCCTGTTCCCGGGGCCACGTGCACTGACCCCAGACCCTGGCCCACTCTGCTCAGAGCTCCTCATCTCTTAGATGCTTCCTGGAGGAGGAAGCTGTGGAGGTGTGGTAGAGTCTTCCTCCCCCTCCACCCAGACCCTCCCCAGGAGCCTCTGCGCAGGGGAGGCCTGGGCAGGGCCAATGACAGAGAAGGGCAGGCCAGGCTGCACCTGAGCCAGCAGGGCTGCAGCAGGGGGTTCCTCTCCCTGCAGAGCCAGGCTAATCCCACCTGGGCTTCCCAGCCCCACTGTGCCAGAGCCTCTGGGTCCTCTCCCACCTGCCACCAGTGGCTTCCCACGGCGGACACACAGTGTCCTCCCGGGGGAGGCTGTGTCCTTTAGAACCCCAGGCTCAGAGGCCTGAGCTGATCAGTCATTGGCCTGGGTTTGTGGTGCACAGCCTCAGGGGTCCCTCCAAGGTGCCCCCTCTTGTTTCTCTCCTTACTTCCCCCCATACACAACCAAGCAAGCGTGTTTCATGTGTACCTTGTGGCTCCCTATGTATTCTTGCATAACATGTCCTGTTGTCTTATGAGCATGTAAAGGTTTTTTTCCCTAAATGGTGATATGCTACAGATTTTGTTTTGCTTCCCACCTCTTTTCACTAAAGATTTATTTACTTACTTACTTACTTATTTATTTATTTGAAAGGCAGAGTTAGAGAGAGATCTTCCATCTGCTGGCTTACTGTCCAAGTGGCCACAATGCTGGGGCTGGGCCGAGCTGAAGCCAGAAGTCAGGAATTCCGTCTGGGTCTCCCCTGTGGGTGGCAGGGGCCCAAGCACTTTGGCCATGTGCCGCTGCTTTCCCAGGTGCATTAGCAGGGAGCTGATCGGAAGTGTTGCAACTGGGACTTGAACCAGCACCCATATGGGATGCCGGCATTGCCTATAGGCAACTTAACCCACTACACCACAACACCAGACCCTGTGCATTGGTTTCAAGTTCTACTTGTGTTGTAACTGTGCTCTGGGGGGACCTCTGATACATAGTAAGGTGACAACCATTCTCAGTTGCCTGGGACACAGACTCTCAGTGCTAAGACCGGGAAAGTCCTGGGCAAACCAGGACAGTTCCGTTATGCTTCTCACTCACCCGCACTGCCTGCGAGAGCCCCGGCTCGCCTCCCCACACAGGCAGTGGGTGTCACTGTGCCCTCGGTGCCTGGGGGAACATTGCTCCGGGATGCACACCAGGATCTGGCACTGCTGACACATGGGGTGGCGTCCCCTTCATCCGACCCAGCACTGCCCCAGCCTACACTGCGCCAGCAGGGCGTAAGCACTTCTGTGCCCGCATCCACAATGGTAGATGTTTCCCGGCTTCCTGAATCACGCCAGTTCAAGAGTGATAGCTAATGCTTGCTTTAATTTATGCTTCTCTGGCTGCTAATGTGCTTGGACATCTCTGGATACGCCTTTAGGCTTTTAGTCTCCTCTTGAAAATTGTCCATCTGTGTTCTCTGCCCATTTTTCCTACTGGAATGGCTTTTTCTTGCTGCTTTGCAAATGTGCTTGTATAATCTAGATCATCAACCCCTATTGGCTTTAGATATTGCGAATACCTTCTCCGGTCTGCATCCATCTATTAACTGAGCCTGTGGGGACTCCACTGACCCTAATTCTTGTGCACTTTTGAGTTTTGTTTAAGAAGAACGTCCCCTCTCCCAATTACATATATGTGCTCCTACAGTTTCTGATTTTTAGTTATATCTCAAATGTTATTTGTGGTGTTAGATAAGGGTTTAGTTTAATTTTTCTCCGTATATAAGGAGCTCCTTTTCCAAACATAACTTAATAAGCAACCATCTTCTCTCCACCTGCTGTCCAGTCAGTTCTGTGCTGGACCCTCTAGTCTGTCCCACTAGTCCACGTGTCTGTTCTGAAACCTCCCTCCAATTAATTAAATTAATGGGGCTTTTTGTGTGGCATCATGTGTGGTGTGGAAATCCCCTCCTCTTGCTCTTCTTTCTTTCTGTGTTTGAAAGGGAGGAAGATGGAGAGAGACAGAGACGAAGAGCTTCCGTCTGCTAGTGCACTGCCCAAATGCCTGCAACAGCTGGGGCTGGCCCGGGGACTTCAGGAGGCCAGGACTCAGTCTGAGTCTCCCATGTGGGTGGCAGAGACTCGGTACCTGAGCCATCACCTGCTACCTCCCAGGTGTGCACTAGCAGGAAGCTGGAGTCAGAAGCGGATGAACCCGGCCACTCTGAATGGGATGTGCTCATCCCCAGCAGCAGCCTAACAGCCGCACAGAATACCCACTCCCTTACTCCTCTTTTTTAAAGCCCTAGATCTATGGGGTCAGCGTTGTGGCACATAGGTGAAGTTGCCACCTGCGATGCCAGCGTCCCGTCTCAGAGGGCCTGGCCTGTTCAAGTCCCAGCTGCTCCAATTCAGATCCAGCTCCCTGCTAATGCACCTGGGAAAGCAGCAGGAGATGGCCCTAGTACCTACACCCCTGCTACCCATATGGGAGACCAGGGTGGAGTTCCTAGCTCCTGGCTTTGGCCTGGCCCAGCCCTGGACTTGGGGGGATGTCAGGTCTTTTTATACTATTAAATCACTCACCCAAATTATCTGCCATGTATTGCTCAGGTTTTAAGTTCTCTGCAGAGAAGTCTGTGTGTCCTTGGTAATTTCCCAGGTATTCAGTGTTTTGAAATGGTTGTGAAGGATGCCCCACTCTCACTGCATCCTTTAGTTGATAATTGCTGCCGTGGAAAACCGCTGTCGTTTCTGGTTTACCCACAACTTTGTTGAACTCCCTTGTTGGTTCTGTTTATCTGCTGAGTCTGGTTTTCTCATGTGTGAGTATATTATCTCCAAAAATAAGTGCTTTCTCTCTTCCTCTCCAATCTCTACTTCCCCTTACTTCCTTCTCTGTCCATAGAGCATTGGCCATGACCTCCAGGTCTTTGCTAAATGATAGTGACGGTGGGCAGCCCAATGTTAGAGGAAATAGATGATCTAGGGTTTTTTCATCAACTACATTTGTGGTGGTCGGATGTTACTATCTAAATTTGTCAGAGTTTTTATTATAAAAGACTATTGAACCTTATTGAAAGCTTTTTCTGTATTGTTGAGACCATAATAATTTTGCTCCTTCAGTATATTTCATAATTATTCACTTTAACATGAGATTCAATTGGCAAATCTTTTTATTTAGAATTTTTGCAACTATGCTCATAAAAGTTCCTAGCTTAAGCATTTCTGGAACAACACATATAGAAAGGATGGGGATTGTTCTTCCTTGACATTTTGCAAATGTAGAAACACCAAAATCCAGACTTTTGGGCTAAGGAATCTCCTTGACCCCCTTTTCAGTCTGTGTCTTCTTGTAACAACTTTGGAATCTATATTCTCCAGACAGTTTTACATTTCAGCTAGGCTTTCAAGTTCATTAGCATATGTTTCATCCTAACACTTGGAAATTACTTTTATATCTTTATTGTGCCTATAGCTATTTCCCCTTTTTATTTTTTATTTCATTTTTTAATATCTCCTCTTTGTTCTTAGTCAGTCTTGCTAAATAAGTGTTTAGTTTATCAATCTTTGGAAGGAACCAATTTTTTGCTTCATTAATCTCCTCTGGTGGTGGTGGTAGTGGCTCCACTTCATTTAGTTCTGGCTTTTTCTTGATTATTTCACTTCTGTTTCTTTTCTTTTGCTCTATGCTTGAGTTGAGTACTAAGTCTGCTATTTGTAGTGTTTTTTGTTTCTTAATAAACATCTTTAAAGTGAAATAACTTTTTCTTTTTTTAAGATTTATTTATTTGAAAGCAAAGTTACAGGAAGAGAGAGAGAGAGAGAGATCTTCTGTTTGCTGGTTCACTCCCCAAATGGCAGAAACAGCTAGGGCTGGGCCAGGTGAAATCCAGGAGCCTGGAACTCCATTCGGGTCTCCCACATGGGTGCAGGGTCCCAGACACTTGGGCCATCCTCCACTGCTTTCCCAGGCCATAGCAGAGAGCTGGGTCAGAAGCAGGAGAGCTGGGACTCAAGTCCTTATTCATATGGGATTCCAGAGTTTCAGGCAGTAGCATAACTGGCTGTCCCACAACGCCAGCCCCCAAAGGTATAAATTTTGTCCTGCAAGCAGCTTTAACTGTGTCTACAAAATTTGATATATCTGCAGATAGTATTTTCATTATTATCCTATTTTAAGCCTTTCTTAAATTCCTCGAGGACTTTAAACCCAAGATTTATATAGTACTGCGTGAGTTTTCAAGTATGTCTGACTTTGTAAGCTCTCCTTGTTTTATCCATTTCCATTGCATTAGGATCAAAGAACCATCTGTATGATGCTGATCCTTTTGAATTTATGGAGGTTTCTCTTACGGCCTAACCCTAACTTATGGTCATAAATGTTTCCTCGGCTTGGAAGCAATGAGTTCAGGGTTGAGTTCTATTTATAGCCCACTGAAAGCGCAGGCTTATTCTACAGCAGCTGAAGCTCATTAATTAGATTATAAATTTTTCTGCTTGTTTTTCTCTGATCTGTCAGTTTCAGAAAGAGTTATGGTAGAATCTACAACTACAGTGGCTGCTCTATGTATTTCTCCTGCTATTCTGTTAGCTCTGGCTTGATGTCTTTTTAAGATTGTATTATTTATTGCCTGTATGTTCATAGCAGCTGTATCTTTTCTTCGTCTTTTTTGTTGATGTATAACATCATGCCTTATCCTTTATGATATGTTTGCATATCATAATAATTGTTTATTTTGGTTCACTTGCCAGGTATATCTTTTTCAATGTTTGCTTTTTTGCTTGTTTGTTTTTTTTTTTTTTTTTCAGTATTCCTGTGTTTTTTAATTTAAGTGTTATCTTCTCAGGGCACGGATTATTAGATCTTGCTTTTTACCCAGTGTGAGAGCCTCTGTCTTTTAATTAATGGGTTGTATCCATT